AGAGGATCTGTCCAAACTCAGAACAATGAGTGTGACGATCAGTCTTCATCTGGATAGGGTTGTGAGAAGATCTAGCCTATCCTGTACCTGGCTATACTGTATGCCGGTTGGTAGGGGGATCCTCTGTTGTGGTATCTGCCTATTGATTTAGGCAGCAAAGTGGTGCCACTATCTTGAGTGATGAATTGGGCGCTTGCTAGCTTGATGGTCCAATGGGTTCCTTTCTGGGCAAGTGGCCTGATGTCACGTGATCAACATCTGACAACTTCTGAATAGGGCAAGTGGCCAGTGTCACATGACTGGGTGGCTGAATCCTGGACGCTTGGTGGTTATGCGGTAGACACAGTCATATCCGCAATGTATGTGACAGTATTGTGCTGTTTGTCGAAGTATCCACTTTGTGAGACCAATATGAAGGTTGGTGTCTGAATAACCACTTGTGATTGCCAAATGAGGACTTTTATGGTGCAAAAAGAAAGGTGCCACCTAATACTGTGATACCAGCACATTCCTCACTCGAGCGTGTTCCCCATGTGGTGACTAGCGATCTCCCAAATAAGTTTCTAATCGACCCATCAGTATGTGCATGCATCATTCTGTATCACTTACTCATTCCATATATCCAGAATGCACACACCAACAATCGAGTGCTCGAGAATTTCCATCAGTACATGTTGATTTTATAAAAGTCAATGAAGTGAGCAGCATGGCAAACGTACCATGACAGGAGTCGTCACGTAAGCACGAGCGAATGCTGCATCATCACCGGTGAGCAGGAGGATCACCCAGTGTGCCGTGATCACGCTCGTGGAAGCGTTGATGTGCCAGATGGCACTCTCGATGTTCTCATCATCGTTGGTCGTGAGCTTGAAGAAGTTGGCTCCAGGGGCAGGACGTGCATCCAAAGAGGACATGCGATACATACAAACACTTATAGTCTGGTTAACACCACATAAGTGTGCAGATTCATGTTCTTCTCATCCTGCTGCAAATGTTCTTGATCCGTTAACCCTCAGATGCACTGCTATTCATGCTCACCTCGGGCGAAAAGGGGTTCTTCACCAAGACGATCATCTTGCTTTCTTCTCGTGTTGCAGCTTTTTTCGCTCCTTTATTACTCACATGATCGCTGCATGTAGCACGTGCTTCTGGTCACCCTCAGTGGACGTTTGTGTCACCGGGCCTCCTCCGGCTAGTAGTACACATATGAGCATGATGAAGGGACACTGGTGCACAAGGGGAGAACGGCACCTAGAAAACCTTACCAGTGCGGTGTCCGAACTTGAAGCGGACGAAGACCTCTCCATCTTTCCCATGTTTAAAGACTCCTCACTGCACAATTTCCTGAAACATCTTGGTAAGCCAATCCTGAGCATGTTTGACAGATATAAGCATTACATATATGCGTTGCATCAAATTCTCTTTCCGATGCTGGAGCGGGTCAAGATCAGCACTTTCTTTGCTCCTATTTGCCCACACAGAGGGCATTCACCTTGATCTTGGTTATAAAAAGCTTTTTCTCAGAAGTGTGCACGAGTTCTGGTATGTTTTTGACCTCTTTAGTGGATGCATGAGCACAGGAAGCCACCTGGATAGCTTTCAAAATGCCATCTCAGAGCCATTCCCGGGTGGTGTAACACCTGCAGAAAATTAGTTTCCGTCAGTGTCAAGCAAATCTTCATCATCTGAGATGTTGCTTTCAGTGCATTGGACGTTCTCGAACTCGCTGATTCCTGCCGAAGCGCCGGACCAATGGTTGCGTGAGGATCCATCCGTGCTGTCGGAGCCCTCTGAACTGCCAGCCATGCCTTGAGCAAACTTCGATCCAGCACCTGTGGTCATGCTCCTTAGTCACGTACACACATGAGAAGTGGTAAGCGAGCTGGAAAATGGCTGAAAGATGCGAAAAGCTATGTGAGAATGCTATGAGATGATGGTGAGGAGAGTAGTGCAAACAATGCGTCTTGACCTTCTGGACGTCATCACTCCTTGCATTACATGCACGTTTCTCAATCTCACATGATGTGTAAGCATGACTCTATGTATCTCTTCACTTAAACGGCTACACTTACGAAGTCAGCCAGAATGATGACACATCCGGCTTCGACTGCCATCTCTTCAGGTGATACCAAGTGTCTCATCGCATTGATAATGCTATGATACATCGTCAGCTTATCTTATATTCAACTAATCGTCCTTCTCTCTATATTGCGCATATATACGCTGTCTTTGCGCGTACCCTTGCCTCCGTTAGAGTCAATGGTGGCAGTCTTACTCTTTTGACCTTGTGGGATTGTGCAGTGTTCAGAAGGAAGCCAGGTGGTCAGAAAGGTGCAAGTCTCCAGGGAGTGTGGAGAAAAGCGACGATGGATTCTGCTGGGGGCTAAGGTGGCGATCACATGATTGACGCGCCAATGGCCATGTGCCCCACATCCTCAAGACGTTGCGTCCACTTGCAGCTGCAATGCATCTCCTGTAACCATGCTGCCAGCATACAGACTTATGTCAATGCCATCCTGGAGAATTGGCAATGCGAGTGAAGAGAACATCCCACAATGAAGACTCACCACTATTCCCAGCAGCCTCGCCATCCTCGCCACAGCTCGACCATGGTTGCCCTGCATGGCAGCAAAGAAAGTGATGCCCTTCCCTTCCACCCCTCTGGTGAGATCCTCAATGCTGCATGTTATGAGCCATAAGCATGCTTGTGACAAAAGAAGCAGCTGCATAGAAGCCAAGATGGGAGAAGTGACAGCGAGGGGAGGGCGTGATTCGAGTCGCACATACACGTTTCTATAAAATGTTACATGAAAACAATGATTTCTGTGAGCATGTACAGGAGGAAAGGTGTGGTCTGTTGGGGAATAATGCATTCATCGTGATGGGCTTGACTTCGAGGTCGAGAGGATGTTGTCCTTGCTCATTATGAGCTTCGTGAAGGGTGGACAGAGCGCGCGTGGAGGTAGGGATTTCAATGAGGATGCACTAGCTGATACAAAACCTGCAAGAGATGATCTGGCATCCCAGGCTTGAGTCACCGTGGTCATCAACGTAGGCTGAAATAGGCAGGGTAGGCAGGGGGTGTAGTATGTGACAGTGGAACACACAGAGGATGCCATAGTATGAGAATGGTGACCCAGAACGTAAAAAGAAACAAGTTGCAGTCTGTCTATTCAAGGCGCCTATATGCGTTCACATTGAGTTCGATTATTTAGACTTGAAATTGGCTCGCACGAATATTGCTTTGGGGGAGAGCGAGCTTGAAGTAAATTGGCCGCGCTTGTAATCTATCTGGTGCGGACATTGCAATCCTATGTGATTCTTGGATCCGATCAGTGCAAATTGCTTAGAAAAATAAGAATTACGAGGTTGATAATTGTGAAAGACAGTTTACAAGAGTTTATAACGTGTTATAGACCATGATAATCCCCCCCTAATATACTCAGAGGTTTTTAAGAACCTTAAAATCTACTTCAACGTTTTTGCACTTTTGCTGATGTCATACACACGCTATCAGGTTTACTCAGAGGATACCAAATGTTGAGCTGACGATATACGAGAAGAATGCAGGCATGGGCGGGACATGGTATGTCAATAAGTATCTGTGAGTGTGCGATGCAACTTGGATGCCAGACATCTTTCACGAGGCTGTCTCACTGCAGCAGTGTAGCATGTGACACACCATCTCACCGTATGTATCGCTGAATCCATCATGAGTCTCAGCGGTTCATTTCACTTGTTATCAGTACCAGCTCACGTTTGAGCCGAAGGTCAGTCCGCTCACCGCTGGCTGTTTTTGTGTCCAGATTCAAGCCTGCGACATTGATGGTGCTCACTGTTGATGTCTCCCCAGACCGACTGGTCCAGCTTCTATCTGCCTGGCCTGGAGACTTTGTCCTACCTCGAGTCCGTTGTTGATAAATACAAGCTCATGTGCTACATTAAGCTGCAACATCGCATTGTGGAAGCCCGGTACGATGAGCCAATGGGTAAATGGCACCTGTGCGTGAGGCATCCGCGATCTGTGTCCCCTTTCTCTACTGCCTCCGCTGACTCTGATACATCAAATGGCACTGACAACCAGGCCAATCTGGCCGAGGAGTACGAAGAGTCCACAGATTCTGCCAGTTTCTTCCTGACGGGCATTGGCATTCTCAGCCGATGGAACTGGCCTGATATCGACGGCCTGCAAACATTTGAAGGCAAGCTGCTGCACAGTGCCAACTTCGATGTTGGCAATCGCACATGGCAGGAGGCAACTGAGCAGTGGAAATGGAAGGACAAGAAGATTGGCGTGATTGGTGCGGTGAGCAATATTTTTGCCTGGCATGAATCGTAACCTGGCATGAGTGATGACAGTTGCTGTGGTGTGAAATCCATGGCTGCTCTTGATCAGGGCTCAAGTGTGATTCAAATCGTTGCTGCGTTGCAGCCGTGCATCGGTCTGCTGGTCCAGTTTGTGCGCAGCGTGACTTGGATAACTCTGATGTTTGCGAGCGCACAAAGCGCGATACTGATCAATCGTGATCAGAGCATTGAGAACTGTAGGTTGCTATGTGCCAGACCTGGTTAATCTTGCTCTTGATATTGAGATAGACACGTTGACGGAAGAGGCCAAAGGGTCATTCAAAGACCAGGTTTTCTGCAAGCACTTCCGGCACGAGTTGGAATCGTTAGTCCACGTATGTCCTCATCAGTGCAATTGATATCTATGCTGAGATTTGATTGCACTTTGTCTGCTCAGTCTTACTCTTATCATGGACTCATCCTGCAGGACAGCATACAGCAAGCTGCAGAACATGAGGAATGCATGGAGCACATGCATAAACAGCTCTCGGAAAAGCCGTGGATTATGGATCACCGTACATGACCTGATGTTCCTGTTGTTTCTGTTCTGTTTTTGATGGCTTGAAAACTGTATGCAGTGCTTCCTGACTGGAGCATCGCATGCAGACGGTTGACGCCGGCACCTGGATACTTGGAAGCACTGTGTGAGGAGAATGTAAGCTGCATGTTTGTTTTATCCAATAATTTGGATGCGAGTGAAGCTATCTGACATAGGTAGACTTTGTACCCAAAGAGATTTGGTGAGTCACTCCATGAGGCATCGAGACAGTCAATGGGCAGCATACTGATTTCGATGCCATCATTTGTGCCACTGGTCTGCCTGTCTGTCCACCCACCTTGCCTCCGCTAACGTCTGTCTTCACTCCTTATGGAAGGCTTTGATGTTTCACCAGAGGCTGGCAGTATAATACATCAGTTTCTGTCATTACAGCATAACCAGTGATACATTATCCATGATTGTTAGAGCTCGGCGTGATACATCATGGTGCTGCTATCGCAGCACCTGCCCATTTTGGATAGCAGCGCTTCACCTCTGGCAGTCCCTGGTCAACCACAGCCTGGTGCCACTCTGCCAGCCTCCTTCCCTTTTCGATGCATCTGTGCTAATGGTGGGAATTCCTGTGCCTCTGCACCTTCAACTGCCTGCCATCATTTTCTTATCTCTTCACAGTTCACTTCAGTACGTCATTGCTAGTTGCATCATTGCTGCTGCCCTGCCCTTCCCGATTCTCTACTTAGCTTCTTCATGATTGAGCCTCACTTCTCCATCAATGTTCCTGGCTTTCCTCGATGCAGCCACCTGCACCAGACCCTGCTGTCACTCCATCCTTCCCATCTGGATGCTTCCTTTCTCCTGCACATCCACTACGCAATCTGCTGACAATCTACCACTCAGCATGGCATCATTGACCACCTCCCCAGCTGTTGCTCACATGCACATGCACTGCCCCACTCCTTCCCTCCTGGTCTTCGCTTTCTGTGTCATGGTGCCTGGCTTCTCCATCACATGCACTTTCACTGCCCCACTCTCCCCTCCTCATATTCACTTCTGCATTATCGTGCCTGACTTCTCCATCATTATTCCTGGCTTCTCTTGGCATAGCCTGATTTTTGTCGCTCTGTCCTTCCCATCAGGATGCTTGATCTCTCCTGCACATTTGCTATGCAGGTTGCTGACAATCTATTGCTCAATGCGGCTTCATGACCACCTCCTTGGCTGTTCCTTATGTGTGCTTCCACTGCCCCACTCTTCCCCTCCTGGTATTCACTTTGGCACATCATTGTGCATGGCATTTTTACTTGTGAGTGGTTATAACCTTCCAAATTCAGTGATCATGCCTGCCATGATACATCACCATTTCAGCTGTAATGTATCATCCTCGCCATGCGAGGATATATATCACCACAGCTCGAGCAGCAATGTATCACTTTCTGCTTTGACCGTTCAGGCCCACTCCATACATCACCATTCCAGCTGTGATATATCATTTCCACCATGCAAGGATATATCACCACAGCTTCAGCAGCAATGAGTCATTACATTGAGGGTGCAGGCTCACCATGACACATAAGCCTGCATGTATCATCTACTGATTTAGCTTATATATATTATAAATCTACACTTCGGTGCCAAGCACCTGTGCATTGTTTCACCGACTGACTTGTGAAGCACCAGCTCAAGCATTATTCAATGTATAGTAAATTCATTGCAATAAATAGCATTCTTAGCTCTTGAAGGAATCGGACATCTGGTAATCTAACTTCACCCACTCTGCGACATACCTTCATGCATGGCTGCAGAATGTGCCCATGGTTGTGCACAATTCCATCTGGTGCATAGCATATGCCATGATGCCTTCTCGATGCTCCTCTGTCTCCCCTTCCTTTCTATCTACTTGCTCCAGCTACCAACACGCATGATGCTTGTGAAAAGTGATAACTCATCACATTTCCTCTACCAGGAGCTCACATTCTTCAGTCCAGCACTGTGCGTGCACACGCACCTTGCACCATTCGACTCGCAGTGCTGACAAAAGAGTATCAGACCTAGAGGACATAATGTAAGATCTTTATGACATACCTTCTTGTACGCCCTTGTCCTCACTCACACCGTCCAGCTGGCCAACTCCTGCAGTACAGCTCAGGCTTTCTCCAATTAAAAGCCAGACCTTCATACAAGCTTAAAGTGGGCTTGGGCTCAGCTTAGCCCAGCCTTGGACAACACTAGCCATATGTAGAGCAGAATGGGATTGTCTATAAAATAGTAAACTTATGTCATAGCCTGCATTCGAGCATTAGCAGTTGAGGGTCACAGAGCTAAACCTATGCAATTTAACTGTGTAATAGTAATCTTGTTGGAAGGAGACCACTGCAGAACTATGGGGAGAATGAGGAGTAATGGATTGACAGCTTTGACAGCATGGTCACATGATTGATACATACATACATAGTGATATGTTTCTCATGAATAGCACTTCGGTGAAGTTGGCATAGCAGCGCCAGTTCCAAATAACATTGATGCAGAGGGATATATGTAGTGGATAAATGGGGTGTAGGTAAAATACAGAAATTCAGTGAACATTATCTATGATGTATTATCAGGAGATACTGTATGAGAGGACCTGTAACAAACACAAATGGTTAGGTCTACATGGCACATCTGACAATCACCATGACTCGATGCACGAACAGCAGCATAGAGGACTAGAAGACACTGTAAACAGGTGAGGTCGCTGTGAAAGGCTCCTAGAAAGTAACATTCACAGAAGTGGAGTATTGAACAATGGCAGCTAAGACTGGCACCACGTCCAATTACTGTCAAACACCACTAGGAATTTAGGTACAAATGAGTGAGAAACACTCTCACCTAACTACCTCTTTTATACCATGTCACTTCAGGACAGGCAGTGCAGCTTGCATACCAGGCACTTATCCAGCTGCCATTCCTGCAGCCTCTCTATTCTGCCTGGTACCTTCAAGGTCCCCCACAATTTTATAGTGCCTCTCAGGCCCCAAAAGCCAACATGGAGGGGTGTGGTATGCACAAAAGATGCTAAACTGAAAGGAGCAAATTTGTCAGCTGAAGGCTCACATAAGCCTGTCAAGCAGTCATGTCAATAGCCAAATAACCTTTTGTTATTTGTGTTGGCTTTTGAGGTCCAAAAAGTGCTGGATGTGCAAGCTGCACCATCTGCCCTAATGTGGCACAGTATAAAAGGGATAGATAGATGTGAGCATATCTTGCTCGTTCATAATCTAAATCTCTAATGTTAGCATGATATTGACATGGCAGCCTGTCTTTGGCCACCATTGTCCAACACAAATGAGCTGCACCTACTTTGGGACTTCCTGAAGATACTCTGAACTCTCATCTAGTCAATCTGGGCTAATCTCCTTCAACATAGCTGACATTGTGATGTCGTGCACTGGGCCCTTCAGGGCAAAAGCATGAGAATGGATGGCAGAAAGGGTAGGAAGGAGGTGGAGGTCAAGGAGGTGCTGGTGAGTAGCATCCATTGAAGAGTGGGGAGGGAGTTAGGGAAGGAGGCTGTTTAGTCTAGGTGTGAATGTGAGCACGAGGCATGGCAGAGAGACCCAGGATTATCTGGTGGTTCCTGAGCTGTGCAGGTTGAAGAGATGATGTCAATGCAAGATCATACATGAAGTGCCAGGCTGAATAAGAGGGTGGAGCACAGGGACAAAAGGAGCTGAGGCTGAGGTGGGCTGAGATGACGTGGTGGGTGCAACTGGGCTGGATTAGGCAGTGAAATGCACAGAATGATAAAGATGCAGGCTGAGGCAGGGCATTAAGAAGATGTGGGCCAGGGCAGGGCATTGAGAAGAAGCACCTGTATCCAGGGCACTATAGAAATGTGGTGGAACACTGCGATGCCAGGTAGGGCTGAAATGACAGCTGGCTTGAGGGGGCGTGTTGGCTTTTGAGGTCCAGAAAGTGCCGGGTGTGTGAGCTGCACTGCCTGTCCTAAAGTGGCACAGTATAAAAGAGGTAGATAAATGTGAGCATACCTTGCTTGTTCGTAACCTAAATTCCTAGTGGTGGTGTGATATTGACATGGTGGCCTGTCTTTGACCACTGTTATTCAACAATCTGGAACCTCAATCAAGCAATTAATATATGGCACAGCTGAGGTGAGTTTCAGACATGCTTTTCTTCATTTATTAGACCGAGAACTAACTGTATCGAGTAGACATAGCCTTGTAATTGTAACAGGTACAGTACAGCAATATAGTTGAGACATTAACATACAGTGCAGCTGAGACATAACCTTGTGATTGCAACAGATTATGAGCCCTGAGCAGCACATATAGTCATATAAAGCACTCTTATCAATGTCGACTCTCCAATATTCAAGAGCCAATTATCATTATTCATCATATTCGCATCAATATTTGTACCTAATATTTCACCATGGCAGCCACCACCAACATAAAGATGCCCATCCTTCTGAAGAGCCAGCAGCTCAGGAAAGCCAACTGGTTTATGTATATCATTCATGTATCTGGAGTACAATGAGCAGAACAATCAATGAACAATAGAGAAGATGGTGTGTCCTTGTCAGAAAGAAGGTTATGATGGTGCAGTGAGCAATCACTTGCTTCTGCTTATCAAAACAAAATAGAGGAGCAGGCAGAAGACACACTAATCATATATGAGACCTTACAATGAGCTATATTTAGTCCTTTTCACAATGTTAAGGTTAGCACACAAAACAATGTTAGTGATTCAAAGACTTGGCAAAGGCTCAGCATAATTCTGGACAGAATGCACTAGTGCATTCTGTCCATCCTATAGCCAGATTTTCATTGCAGTTTGTGATGCCCCCACCAGGTGTGGCTATAGAGGAGAATACCCTCTCTTCCTCACTTGATTATCTTGGCTCACACATACCCATATCCTCATTAGTGCTAAGTACTCTGTCATCCCCAGTTTTCAGTTCTGTGACTGGGTTTGAGATGCCTCTGCCAGTTTTTGTGTCAGTGCAGACTGCAACATCATCACTGGTCCTCAGCCATCATGCTCACAACATTATATCTTTATCGAGCTATGCTTCTGCATTCTCATCACCCCTTTTGAGCTTGATTCCATCATGTTATGAAGCGTTCCCTGCTAGAACGTTCAGAACCACGTGTGCTTTCTCACACGTACTAGTCCACAATGTGGACGGAGACTTAGATACCAAATATACCTAACGTCTCCAATAGTCAGGCAGACTATTAACAGGGTTTATAGTGTGGTCAAGCCTAGTAGACGATGTAGCAGTGAGGTCCTCACTCTACCCTTGCTAGGCCTTGGCCGCTACAGCTACTGCACGTTCACCCGCAGGCTACTAGGTTCGCTGTTCTGACTCTAGCAAGCGTAC